AGTATTTCTAAACTAAAGCCCTGACAGATACCTCAAGCTGTTGTGGTGCTTTACCAGGTGGATCAGAAACGCAGACTGGAATATGTCAGTGGCTGATTCATTGGCCAAACAGTGACGTTTCAAACCCACGAGCTCATCTGGATGTTAATTTTCAGGGGGATCAAAGCTTGTTGGAATATGGGCTGTCTCTTTCCATATTATATGCATTTTGTGCAGTTGAGTCTTGCACTCTTCTGCCATGAGGCGGGATGGTGCAACGTCCTGTTGTTCAGACGAACCAAGGATGCTGCCCAGATGGTGAATGAGACAGGGAATTCACTGCTTCTGACTGGTAAGAATCCTGGGCAACAGTTAGTAGGCCGGTATTTTCTGAGATAGAATTTGTCATCATGCATTTGAGATCTGTCAGTGTTTCTGTTAACACCAGAACACTCTGGGTGTGTTTTCAAACCAGGGCTTCCAGTCCTGCTAACAAACAGTGGGGTTTGTGCACGTACCTCCATGGGCTCACGTGGAAACATACGTGAAGCATCAGAAGATTCCTGGGTGCGTGTTTAAGGCTTACTGCGTTCTCTACAGACTGAAATGGGATTTTCCTGATGTGGTAAGTGTTGATCTTATGGAATGTACATCCTGGGAGAAATTGCTCCTGGTGGCTGAAACAAATGCTGGAGTTGTTCAGTGCAGAGCTGTCACAGTTCTGGTCTGCCTGGTGCCACAGTGGAAGAGCCTGGGCTGTTCTGGGAGAGAACCATGTTCGTTGTACTTGCAGGAGAATGTCCCTGTGCTGTTATTCAGAAGATAAGCTGTTCTAATCAACCTTACCTCAGGATCTTGTTTCTCAAATCCAAGCAAGACAGGACTGTGCATGCGTGTGCATTGAATACGACGCTGGTGTTTGGTTTCTGTGAGATTCCCCACATGAGTGCCTGCTGGTTCTGAAGTTGGCTCTTGGAATGCGATGGCTCAGTGTCTCACTGACAGTGTGACAAACAGGACGTGGTTCTTGCAGGTCTGTTTCCTTGCCTAGCTTTATTTCCACTGCTGGGTAACTGTGCAAGAGCTGCTTAACAAAAGGAATGAAATGCACACTTTGCTGGAAAATTAGCGCTGAGTTTTGCCCATTTCCTTGGAATGGAAAAGTGAACCTAACGTGCCTTGTTGTTATCAAGGGATTTGTTTGCTGGAGGCAAGCTGAGAAATGGTGCCTGGGGCCTGTGGGCACAAACAGATGCCAGCTTCCTATTCCTGCAGCAGCCTTTAAATGTTGCATTAGCAGTGGTAGTGAGACCAGACAGATCCAGGGATGTCCGTGCCCAAGGCTGGAAGTGAAGCTGGAGAAAAGCAAAACAGTTGACTTAAAACATGTGTGCTTAGAAGCTGGGAAGCAATGAGAAGTGTCTTCCTCTGTTCCCGTGGCAGTTCTGCTGAGTAATAATCACTTGGCAAACTGCAGCAGCGTGGTAGGGGAGCTCAGGGTTGCAGTTTAGGAAGAGGATATTGAGAGAGGTGAGAGGCTTTGCTAATGCTTGGCTGGGTGTAAGAAATGTTCTGCGTTAAGAACGTGTTTCGTATCAAACAATGTCAGCGGTCCACAGTATTTGAGGTACTTAACTCAGTGCAAATGAGAAAAGCTGATGCTTTTTGTCTGCTTGGTAGTGGAACAAGGAAAATTGAGGAAGGTTTTTGGAACAACTTTATTCTTCACATCTTTCCTGGAAAAAAAATAATTCAGGCGGCCTGGGCTCTCTGTCCTTTATTCCTTCTGAGCCCTCAGAGCTGGATTTCTGCTCTTGGCTTTTCACAGGAGATTGGGCCAACAGAAAAGAGCTGATCCAGGAGCTTAGCTGGATCCAGGCTGACCTGCTGCTTAGTAAGTCCCCTCCAAGCTCAGCTAAAAACTTCAGTTTTCTTCTCCAAATTAGGTTTGCCTGAGTTAAGCAAGCACTGAAGCAGATCTGTTCACCTCTGCTTTTCTTTTTACGCTGCTCTTTCATTTCTGGACCTCCTGTAAGAATGACCACATGCTTTGCTTCTTGCTGATTCTGGGGTATCACAGTGCAGTTTCTCAGTCCTGTATCTGGTCGTGAGCCATAGTTAAGGACGGAGGAGCTTTTCCTCCCTGCACATCTGCTGCTTCCCTGGCTTTCAGTAGAAACCCCCTTGTGAGCAGTGTAACGTAGGGCTGAAGCCCTCCGCTGAGCAGCATGGTGGGTTGTGGCTGAGTGCTGACACCGTGATTGTGCAGGGTGGGCTGGTGCAGCACACAGCTGTGATGGCTCTGTTCCGTCACTGATCCAGTCCTTTTTCAACTTAGTGACATTATTTTGGTTTTGTGTCTCTCACTCTGAGAGGTGACTGCACTGCATGAAGGCAGCACCAGGAGAGAAACAGCTGTGCGGCACGATTTGGGAAGGGAACGTCTGAGTGCAGACTCTTCTCTAACACGACAGCAATAGTGAGCTTTGGGATCAGGGTGTTTTGCAGAGCTCCTGGTAGGAGTTGCTCTCTGGAGCCACAGCTCTGCAGTGAGGAGCCTTAGTCTGCCTGGGTGGGTGTTTGCCCCTGCACCATCAGCTGCAGCAATTCCACTCAGCAGAAAGCATCCCTGCGCACCAGGGGAACAGAGAACTCAAAAACCCAAACCGACCTACTGACTGTTATTGACTGTTCTCCCCTTCAACATAAATAACTAGATGCTATTGGCAGAGTCTGGGAATAGCTGAAAGCTTTATTCCCATCTGCTACACTGTGCGTTGCTCTTTAAAGGTGTGACCTTATCAAAGGTGGACTCAAAGCACAAATAAAACTGAAGGCAGGCTCTGTCTGGTTCAGATTCCCTTCAGCGGACTGTGGTGATGGTGAGCAATGGCTGTGCTGCTGAAGTTCATTCTGTCCTTCAGCACGGTTTTATCAGCAGTTAGGATGTAAAAAGCAGCGCTTATTGGCTTCAGGCTCCTCCAAGCTTTCTGGCTGGCACTTGCTTACTTGGCCTAAAAATCAGGCAGGCTTATACTCCAACTGTAGTATTGACCTAGTGCAGTTTCACCTGCTGCATTGGGAGAAGAGGCATTGATGCCTTCTTAATGGGATTGCTGGTTAAACTGCAGCTGCAGGACCTTTACTGAGTGGGATTGTTGGAGGAGCAGCTTGCTGTGACTTTGAGCTGGCAGCGTGGAGGTTGGCAGCTGTTCCATTATCCCCACGCCATCAGGATCCAGAAGCACTGTGCAGAGAGGGGTACCAGGGGGATGTGCTTACTTGCAAAAAAGCACTTGAAAACTGTAGGTATTTTAAGGAGAGAAGCTGGAAATGGTTTTTGGTGAGAAACCTGTTTTTCTAAAAGATGCTGATTGTGACTTAGAATGTTGCTGTGCCCTTTTGGTTTCAGCTGTGTTGGCTGACCAGGATAGAGCTGAAGTGCTGCTTTCAGGGAGACAAGGAAAATGCTTTACAAATGTTTAGCACCCGAACTCCTTAACGAACTAAAATACGGCACCTTTCACGTGGCCACCTGCTTGCTCTGTAGTCTTGCATTTCTGCCTGAGATAGGTGCAAATGTTACTCTAGGAAATGAGCCCATTAAGGACTAGTTGATCAAATCAGTTCAGGGTCACTCTGCTCCCTTACAGTACATGGGCAGCTTGGCCAGAGGTGTGAAGGCTGCAGATCTGACTGGGGGTCTTGAAATTAGTTCACGTGTGCAGAGGGGGGCAGCAATGACTTGTGGGTGCCCGACGGCCCCATGTCTTTGTGCAGAGCGAGCAGTAGGTGCTGCCTGATAGGAACACTTAGAAAGCTGGCTCTGGCAGCTGGAGCGCTGGGGAGTCTGGTGTGTGTGTACGACCTCGGGGGACAGTGCTTCATCTTTTGTAGGAGGTGCATGTAAACGTGAAAGGGCAGAACTTGGTCTGTAAATAGGAGCTAGTTGGGAGCAAGCCTTTTCCAGAGCCAGGCTCATGTCATGATAGTTTTCATTTCTTCAGCCAGACATGAATCAAAGTCACAGTCCTAAAAATGCTTACGTGGAAGCTTTAAGATTCACTAGGTGCTCAAAGTAGCCTGCAACTGCAGGGCCTTTTGCTTGAACACACATCTAAGCTTCTTCAGTGCCTCTGGGCACAGAGTGTTTTGCTCTGGTGATGCATGTGTGCTGTTGCAACTATTGTAAACCTCGGCGTCTCTTTCTGTTTCCACAGTCCGGTGCTCTTTAACATCTTTGTCAGTGACATCGGTGATGGAATGGAGTGCACCCTCAGCAATTTGCTGATGACACCAAGCTGAGTGGTGCGGTTGCCGCAGTAGAAGGAAGGGATGCCGTTCAGAGGGACCTCGACAGGCTGGAAAGGTGGGCCCGGGTGAACCTGATGAGGTTCAGCATGGCAAAGTGCAGAGTTTGGCGCTTGGGCTGGAGGAATTGCAGGCGTCCATACAGACTGGAAGGAGCGGTGCTTGAGAGCAGCCCCTTGGAGAGGGACCTGGGGGTCTTGATAGACGGAGAGCTGAACGTGAGCCAGCAGTGTGCCCTTGTAGCTCGGAAGGCAAATGGTATCCTGGGCTCTATCAGAAGAGAGGTGGCCCGCAGGGACAGGGTGAGGTGCTGGAACAGCTGCCCAGAGAGGCTGTGGATGCCCCATGCATCCTGGAGGTGTTGGAGGGCAGGCTGGATGGGGCCCTGGGCAGCCTGGGCTGGTATGAAATGAGGAGGTTGCTGGCCCTGCCTGTGGCAGGGGGTTGGAGATTGGTCATCCTTGAGGTGCCTTCCAACCTTGGCAATGCTGTGGTCCTGTGATACCAAACCTTTGAATCCTTGAGCCGTTTCTCGCTGTGACTGCTGTTCCTCTGTGGTATGCAGCACTCATGTGTTACCTGCTCACCTGGAGCAGATCTGAGGAATGAGAACAGGCCTGGGAGGCTGGAGGTGGAGAAGTTGAGTTCTGGCTCACAGGGCAGCTTGAGCAAGGCGCTTTGCCCTTCTCTTTCATTTTTCTCACCTTTGCTTGGAAAACGGCAGGAGTGTTTCCCTGCTTGCAGAACAGTTGATTGAATCCCTTCCAGATCTTTGGAAATGTGGCATCCTGTGGGACATAGATGTCCTTTAGTGGCAATCAGCAGTGAGCTGAGAGAGAATGGTCCTGCTTGGCCTGGAATGGTGCCCGTGCGCTCGGCGCTTTCTTCTCTTCCACTCCTGTTTACCCGTGGTTGCACGGAAGGAGATGCAGCAGAGCTTGCTGTCTCAGCTGTCCTGTGCATGCCAGTGGAGATGGATCCAGACCTCGCTTCCCACGAGTCTCCTTGTGACCTGACACACCTGTTAGTTGTTCAGCGTTGCCAAAACCCTCACTGTCCACTGAACGTTTGTGTAGGAGAATCCTGGCCTCACCTTTTGCTGTTCTTCTGCAGTTCCACCTCATGAGCACCTTTCCTACAGCTGGGGAAAAGGCTGGCAAACAAACAGTACAAAGACCACACCTTGGTTCTTGAGAGTCACAGCACTGTGTTTATTGCAGGGAGTGCAAGCCAACTGCTTGTTGGAGCAATCTCTCACCTGAGAGCAGCCAGTCTGACTGTAAGTCAAATAGTTGTTTTGTCCTCTTGGAGTTGTGTAGAAAACCTGTTGCTCCTTTGCAGTTTCACTGGAGGAAGGTATTTATTTTTTTTAATGTCCTATAAAACATCTAACCCAGTTGTAATTCCCTGTGTATTTATCCAGGACCTTTTTTTCTCTTCCATCTCTAAGAAGATCCATTGGGTGGGGAAGCTGTGCGTCAGTCTGCAAGACTTCTGCCCCAGCCGTGCAGGTGGAGCAAGGAAAGGCTCCCGCTTCTGCTGACCTCCTTTGCAGCAGCTTGCTCTCATCCTCCTGCGTAACCCGGGATTGGACTCGCTCAGTATCCTGGGAGGGAGCTTGTCAAGAAGGACTCAGTGTGCTGGGCAGCCAAGTGCAGCCATGTGGCCTGGTATTTTCAGGGCAGATCACGGCACACCTGTAACGAATCCTGAGTTGATGGCAGCGGTCGCGCCGGTAGAGTTTGGGGCTCTCCTCACAAGAGCTGTGTACGTAATGCCTCCGTCATTTCTGAGGGAGGAAGGCCGGCTGATGGAATCCTTTGGACTGCGTGCCTCTGGCACTGATGGTGAGCGGATGTCAGCGGTTCATGGGATGCGAACAGCCTGCGTGCTGGGCGTCTGCACAGGCACTGGTAGGAGAAGCTGTGGGGCTAGGGGTGTCAGCTAGAAAATGGTAGTCACGTCTGCTGATCTTACGTGCCAGAGCTATTCCTGCATCTGGACATCCTACCCCTTTTGTCATCAGTAACTTCCCTTTTGTACATTCACGGTGATTTAATAACAGTTTCTGTTTCACCACACAGCGCTCTGCATGAACGTTTGCAGCCTCCCTGCAAAGCTGTCGTACGTTGAAGCTTTTGCATGTGTCTCTCCATGTCTTTTCCATTTCTTCTGCTTCTCTGCAGTTGGTTCTCTTGTGGAAACAAGGAACAGAGTCTGTTTTCAGCTCTGCAGAGCAGAAGAGCAGCTCTCAGGCTTTGTAAAAACTGGCACCACTGGGAGAACTTGACTGCTTGAACCTTCGGCTTGACTGTATGTGGAAGGCAAGTGCGTGTTACTTTTCCCTGTCCTCAGTTTGAGGTGGTGGCTTGGCTTTTTTTCTTCTCCAAAAGTCAGTAACGTAGCTGAAGAAAGTACAAGCTTTTCTGCACAAATTCGCCCTTGATCTTTAGTAGCAAACTGGGAACAACAGATTTGGTTAACGTAAAGTGCTCTGCCTAAAACTTTCAAATCCAAACAGGACTTATGGTAATGTGGGAGCAACTTAACTTCAGCACCATGTGCCAACCATGGAAATGAAGGTAGGAGCGAGCTATATCCTGTAGGATTTTAGAGGGGAAAAAAGCAGGTGATAAAGTGGAACAGAAGAGGTTCCAGGTGGGGAGTCTCAGCCACCTGGAAATCAAACAGGCGTAACAGTGCGACCCAGCTTTGCTCATGTTCTGGTGAGGATGACTTGCTCTGAAGGTGGCTCAAGGCCGTCTTAAGTAATGAATGGTTTCATCTGACATAATTAGTGAAAGATGCGCCAAATTCTGTTCAAGAGTCTATAGCACCTTGTCCACGTGCCCCTTAATCTCCAGGAACCTCAACCACGCAGAAGCTAGCTATCTAGTTTAAACCAGTCGGTTTGTCAGCTTCTGTAGGCTTCTCTATAGAAATCACTGTCACACAGAAGAGGTGGGATCAAGTTATCTGCCCTCTGGAGATGCATATTTGCACTAACTTCACAGGGAGCCTAAGCAGTGCTAGCTCGGTCTTGGCTAGCTGACTGTTAGATGTGTGAGACGAGGTGGCATAAATTTGCCCTCACAGCAATAAGTAGTGAGGTGGGAGTTAAACTCACCATGGGGAAAGACAAAGATGGGAACACATGCCCAAAAGCAGTCTGGGATTTGAGTGTGGTGAGCACACCTCTCGTGTTGGTAACTCTAAAAGCAGCGGTTGCTTTGGTTTGCTATTTGTTTGTCACAGCGATGATCTTTGTAGCATCATGCAGGGCACTGCCTGCTCTGCACAATTTGAGGAGTTGGACTCCATGCGCACAACCAGGGGTTGCATCCAAGATGGAGTTGGGGGTTAAAATGATGCTGCTGTGTGTTGTCTGAGATAGCAGAGAAAATGCAGTAAGTGCACGGCCTGCTTGCTGGAGCAACGTGCTGCAAGGCACAGACAGATGGCTGGTGCTGGGTATGGTGCACAGGACTCCCAGCCAGAATCAGAGCTCTGAGGTCTGTTTTGAACTCTGTTAATACAAAACTCTCTCACTTCCCTGCTTTCCTAACTGGTATGACAAACCAAACTAACCAACCCCTCTGAAGCCCTAACGCTCCTTTTGCAGCTCCTTCAGATGTCTGCCATCTCCCCCTCCTGGTTTCTGTTCTGGTGATTTGGTCTGTGGACTTCAACGAGCTTGCAGTGCTGCTGTTGTAGCTGTTGTTTTTAAAGAGGGAATGCCCAAAGGGTTCCAGTCTGAGAAGGGCTCACGCTTGCATTGTGATCAGGAACAGCTCAGGGGTGTTCCTCGTTCTCCCTTGGCCCCAAGTATGAGGTGAGCTGCTTTTTGCAGGAGCTGACTGGCATCACTCCTAGGTGCCTTTGGTTCCCGCTTACTTGCCTTATGACTGATTCAGAAAGAAAAAGTGGAGTGGTGGGGCTGGGTCATGTATTGGCAGTACCCCAAATAACAGAAGAGATAAATGGGCAGGGTGCTGCAGGTGCAAACCTCTTCTCTTCCTGCCATTGCATGTTTGTGTTATTCTGGATGAAGCAGAGCACCCCGGCCTCATCTGGGGTCTGCAGGCACAGCTCTGATGGAAGAGGTAGCAGTAGGGCTGTTGGAACAGTGACTGTGGTGTTTTAAAGTAGCAGCTGAGCACAAATGTTTGCTGTTGGGCTTCTTGGGAGAAGGGGCACAGGCAGATACAGCTCCCACAGAGCTTCTGTTAGCTGGCGTCTGTTGTGAATGCTGAAACCTCAGGCTTCCTGTACTGACTGCAGGTTTTCACTTTACTGGGGTATTTGCAGTGCATGATTGTCATACTGTAATACTTGGATAAACCTTTCTTTTGTCTCTGGGTGAGCACTTCCACTTCCCCCTCCTGCTCTGTGTGATTGTAGTCTTTCTGCTCCCTTTTGACTCCAAAGCTTCAGGGAGTTCATCGTGCCTCACTTTCAGACTGACCATTTGATCTTCTTGACAGCAAAAGAAGAAGATGCTTCACCACCTCCCTGCACTGCTGCACTCCATGCCATCCTGTAGGGCTCCTCTGTGCAGCTCTTCAGTGCTGTAAAAGGTCCTGTGAAGGATCGCATTGCTTGGGTCGGTGCTGAAGGCAGCAGGGCACACAGTGTCCTTGGTGTGCTCCAGCAGCAGTGGAAACAAGGGTGAGCCAGCTCGTGCATCTTAGCTCTGGCAAGGATGATCAGAGCCATAGCTCAGCAGGAAATGGGCATTCCCTCTGCAAGTGAAAGGTCAGGAGTGCAGAATGCTCACTGCCTTTTTAGGAAGGTTGGAAGTTTGTCTCCCCCCTCCCCTTTTTTTTCCTGAAAGGAAAGCACACAGAGGATATTTTCTTATGCAAAGATGGGCTGTTTTGCTGAGAACATTTGATGCCATCTATTTTTCCACTTTGGAAGGCTGGTAACCTCTGGGTCAAATCAATTCAGTCCTGCCATCTGCATGACTCACCAGTGGCTGCTGGCGTTTGGTGTCCGCACTGTGCCACCAAAATTCTCCAGCAGGAAGAGGAAAGTGATGGAAACAAAGCCCTGGGACGTGGCTTCTGTGGCCACCAGCGAAAATAAGTGGCAGCTTCAAGCCTCGTGCTTTCTGATGACATACCCTGGCCATATTCCTCGTGGTGGCAGCGGGTGCACTGCGGGAGGAATACCAAAGGAATCGGCACGGGCATTTCCTGGTAAAGACCCGTGGTACTGGGCAGTGCGTGAGGATGCTGTGATGTTTTTCAAGCAGGAACAGCCCCAACGCAGTAGAAAGCACGCCTTCACCAGGAAGAATACCTGTGCACACATGTCCACATACGTATACTTCTTCTACCCAAGAAGCACAGGCACAGTCTGTTACCAGTCATTCAGCTGGAGTGGGTGGAAAGATACTCTGAGGAGCTTTTCTGTTGCAGGTCTAGGAATCTTGTTGCGTCTCGAAATCAAAGGCCCTTGTAGATGCGTGCAAGTCTTGATGAGATCTAAATTGGGAAGATTTTGAGAATCCAGATGGGATTTCTGGTCA